CATAATTTAATGTTTTAATTTTTATCTTTTTCTAAATATTAAAATGGTTAGATGAACATAGCTGACCAAAATAAATTTTGTTTTCCTAGACCAAGGATTGAGAAATTTCTTATTTATCCAATTTTCTCCAATATAATTATTAACAATGTAGACATATTCATACCACACATTGTAGTTTTTCCCTACATTTAAAATAAAATTCTCAGCAATCTCAATTTTCTAAAATATAGATTATTTATGAAAATGCCTATAAAATAAGACTGAAAAACATCTGAAAAAAAAAAAAAATAAATCCAAACACATTGTACAGATTAATTTTAAAACTTTGAGAACAATTTCCGACAAAATCCCTTATCTTCTATCAACCCAAAAATCAAGGCACAAACATTTGATTTTCTTTTTCCGATACTTGAAATAAATCATAACTTATCGATAACTTCAATGAGTTTCTTTTAAAATAATATGCTTAAAATTCTAATAAAATAAAAGAGTTATATCTTCTGATTATTTGACTCAACAAATTGAAAACTAAGAAAGATAAATATATAAAAAATAATAATAAAATAAATAACTATCAATTTTTCAATATTGATAAAGTAGAAAGGATACTACTTAATTATCATCGAATTTTATACATAAATAACTGTCAATATCCACCCAACAATAAAATAACTTGAACTTAATTAAAGCTTATCCCTAAAAATATAAAGAGAACATGGATACACTGCTTCCAAAGTCTCTCAAAAGCCTCTTAAACACCAGAAAAAAAGGAAATGAAAGTGATTGAGATTTTTAAAGGTAAAGTTTGGTTGGTAATTTGAAAATAAGAGATTCAATGAAAAATAGAATCGTATTTTTTATTTTAAGTATTTAATTCAATCTAAAATAATATTAATTAATTTATTAATATTTTTTTTGTTATAAATTTTGTATAGTTATTATTTTACAATATTATATGATTTATAATATACTATATTTGACATGTTTTAATATTAACAAAAATGTAATAAATTCATAATACTAAATAATATATTTATCAAAGTTTATATATATATATATATATATATAATATAGTTATGCATTTTAAAGTTTCAAATTCAAAATATGAAAATACTGAACATAAAAATATTACTTTCAAAATTTTCACGATCACATAATCCGAAAACACTTTTGAAAAATAAATAAACCAAACACATATTCATTAAATCCATTTGATTCATTGAATCTGAAAATAATAAATAGAAATCTTTATTTTTGACAGACAATCAGATCCTAACCTTTTCTTACTCCAAATTTCATAATTATAGTGTTTTATTGTTGTTAGAGCTTGAGAGCCTTTGACAACTCAAGCAAAGGGCAATAAATAAATAAATAAAATATATAAATATATATTTTCATGTCACATCAAGGCCATATGATCTTTCAAACTTTTTTTTTTCCTTTGAAAAGGATATGATATTTTCAATGATGCTTCATTTTACATTACCAAATAGCTTTAAAATAAATTGAGTGGCTTTGGCTGGTTCACTTGACCAACTTCTCTTGTTTTGCTTAAAAGATTGCCATCACATCATTAAGCTTTAATTTTTCAATATTGAAATCATTCTCTCTCTCTCTCTTTCTTTTGGTTGAATATCTCCTTCAATCACTCAATAATTAGTTTCTATTTTAGTTATTAAATAAAAAAATAGCTTTTCACACTAAAACCTATCTTTTATAAATATTACTTTTAGGAAAAATATACTTGAGTGTTTATCCCTCAGTATCCATCCATATATTGATCATTTCTAAAAAATTTGACCATCTTTTAATTTTTTGAAAAATAAAAATATTTATTTTTCTGTATTTATTTCTCCTACTTATAAAATTTTTAATAATGGTTAATAAAAAAATGAGTATAGACCGGTAAGCACTTAAGTATTTTAAGATTTTTTTAGTCATAGTTCATAAAGTAATGTAGTCGGACATTGATATTTAAAAGTGTTCAATTTAAACATTTGCATTTTAACAATTTTCAATGGTAACCAACTTATATAGATAAATGTCAAAATTGACTTACGATAAATTTACACCATAAAGTATTAAATAAACTGGTAAAAACTTTAGAACATTTAAAATAGATAATTATCTAGTTCTTTTTCTAAATTTTAGAAAAGCGGTAGAAATTTTGATTTTTCTTCTTTAAATATCATAAACTCTTCTTTAAATTTTTGTCACTCCATAAGTCGTTGTCCGCGCGATGCTCAAAGAAGGGCAAGATCTTCCCCTGCTCCAAACAAAAATAGCTTGCAGCTCATCCATTTTTGACTTCCGAGATTTGAATTGTGTGAGCTCTTTCATTGGTTCATATCTCTATGGATGCTCACGCGTTAATCAACACGATCGTGTCGTGGTATTTCGTAACTGTTGATTGTAGAAATGTTAAATAGCATAAATCCTTCATTAAATTCTGTAAGCTCATTTAGTACCATGCCATGTAAATTTCATCCATTTTAACATTCACCATTTGTAACTATATAATTAAAAAAATTAAAAAAGAAATAAGGAAATCGAATCTGAACTAAATTGAAAAAAAGAAAAACATCCTGAATAGTAAGAAGTTAAAAAAATAAATACATAAAAAACAAAGAAAAATAGAAGAGTGGAATATGGTTGAAAAGGGTAAATGATTGCGCATTGACAATACAATCAAACTTTGCATTGACGATAAGCCAAACGCGTGCCACGTCATATTGAAGGAATGGGTCAGAGGTCTCGGTTTTGACTTCCACGTTGCGCCGTGGTATTTTTCAATTAGTTTCTTTTGATGGTGTCACTGCTGTCGTGGCACTTTTTCTTTTATTATACGCGCTACACGTGGCGCCGCCTCCAGGGCGAGTAAGTTATTTCCTCACGTGCATCTCACGTGATGTCACTCCATTAAATACGCTCTGACCAATTTGCCCCCATTTGCTCTCACAATTTCAACGCTAAAGTGCGTGCTTCCCCACTATCGCTCCCTGCGCGTGAAGCCCACCACTTTTTATTTCCCGAATGAGATTTCTTTTTTTTTTTCTCTCTAAAGTTATTGGAATTTTTGCTTTGAAATTTATGAATTTTAATTTTGTGCCATCATCAAATTTATTTGTGTCCAAAACTTGATTTCATTGTAATTATTGATCTTTTCTTTAACATTTTCACATTACTTTTTTTGTTAGTAGTGTGTGAGTTAACGTAGATTGAATGGAGGATGAGAATTACAATACTTATCTCATCTATAGTCTAATTTGATAAAATTGAAAGTTGAAGATGAAACGTGACAACTTTCACAAGTTTTATGAAATAAAAATCATTTTTTTTCATAATTTACGAAAGTTGAACTATGCTCAAGTTTGACATGTTAAAGAATACATTAATTATAATCAGCCTAAATGAAAAGTGAGATCTATTATAAAATTTGATAGACATGTTAAATTAATTAATAAAAAACCTATGATATGTCACATCAAGGACCAAATGTGTTGCATTGATATTCAAACTTTCATATTATAAACTATAATTAGTGTGAATATAAGAAAAGTGACGTCAGAATTATATTCCAATACTTATATTAAAAAGTTCGTACAAGATCAAACTGGTATGGTAATGCGTTACTGTTAAATTATTTTATAATATGATATTATTAAAATATAGAAAGATGACGAGAGCATATACATATATATCTCCATGTTATTAAATTTATTTGAAAAGTAATAAGAATATACAACCTTTAAATATTCTACTTTGTTTCTAATTTGAATAGAAAATTACTTTGGTATGTGGTGGATGAGAGATTTTCGCCTATTAATAAATATCACGCCACAATTTGAAATTGTATTTAGGACAATCATAAAATTATACGTGTCCTAAATTAATTTTAGATCGATGAATCAAATTATGCCACGTGTCTCTCTTAGAACCGTACGATTACATCAGTTAATTGGATCAATCTATAAGGAGATTGAGCCCAAACCCATTAAGCCCATGACCCATAAACTCAGAGGGGTCACATTAAAAATTTAGAGTCATCAGAGCATTCAAAATCGTCTATAATTATTCAGACTCATCCACTAGCTACAAGTTGAAGAACTTCACAAAACTTTACCAGCGAAAAGCCAAAGATTTCAAAGATCATTTGATAAGCAAGAAACTGAAGGCATCAATCTCAATAATTCAAGTCATTGAATTAAAGTTTACATCAGAGAGAAAACATCAGAAGATCATACATTAGAGATTGTAATAAGTACAAGTTCATTAATTCGAGTTTCTCAACTTTTAATTTCTCATCGAACAATTTTTTTGCTATTAATTTTTTAAAAATGATTTAATAAAAATCTAACATATACACATATTTATTTATTTATTCAACATCCGTCAACAAGCATGGCTTAAATTATAATTTTTATACTTGAATTTAATTTTTAGAGTTGTATTCTTCTCGAAAAAATTTCAGTCCTTTAACTTTTAGAGTCATATCTATTTGAGTGCAGTTGCTGGAACTTTATATTTAGTCCGCATGTTTACTCATAGTTTAACGATTATGCCATCAAAGTAGAGCTTTAAAAAAATTAATATACCAATATGTTACAAAAGCATATTAAATGATAAAGTTAATGACAAATTTATTAAATACGCTAATTTAATTCGAATATAGTTGAAATGAAAGTGGTTTGATCTTGCTTTAATTAAAATAAATTTATTAAACACAAAATTAAAAATGAAAAATATTAAAATGAGCGGCAGTGGAAGTGGAAACTGTAGCCACTTTCAAAAGACGCGCGTGGGAATTACGCGGCAGAGAAATCTCTCTGGAAACACAACCGCCGAGAAAAAGTAAGGAATTTTCCCCCACCGTGTGGTCGGCGGTCTTCCGCCGTCAAGTTATCCCAAACCTCCGTCAAATCCCGCGGTACAACAACGACCTTCCCGCCGTTACCGTTAAATCCCACAAGAACAATAAAAACCCTCCATTTCTCTCAACCTTTTCCTTGCAACATCAACCGTTCTTCATTTCACTGCCATCTCCCACAAGAAACCCCATAAACTCCGGTGATTAATTCTTCACCAAAAACCCAGAACCATAATCACAATCTTCGCAGTTTTCAGACGAAAATTTCAGGTAAAAACAATGGAATCCCCTCCTTTTCATACTCTATTTGTCCATTCTTTACTTCTGCTGCTTGATTGGGTTTCCCTTTCTCTGATTCATGCTCTGAATTTCTCAGCTGTTTTAACTTTTTCTTCATCACTGGGTTTGATCTTGCAAGTATCAGTTTGGGGATTGAATTTCTGTTTCATAAATTTAATAACAAGTGCTTGTTTTTGTCTACTTTCTTGAGTTGAAGCAAGCAAAGAGCTCATGTCACTATTGGTGTTTTTTCTTTTTGTTTTTTTGGCAGGTTGATTCTTGTTCCTCTGTGGGAGTTGTAAATCAATTTTGTTGTTTGTTGTTTTCTGGAAAAACATTACTGAAATCTTTGATAGATTGGTGTGATAAGAAAGAAGTGTGTGAGAGAGATAAAAGTGTGGTAGAAGAGGTGATGCTAAGTGCATAGGAATGGACTCTCACCAAATTTTTGGATTTGGGGTAAACAGTGCAGGTGTTTCATACACATCTTCTTATTCCTCTGTTCCATCTTTGCCTAATACTTATCTTGGACCCTTGAACTTCAACTTAAGAAACTCCCCGACGTCGCTTTTCTCATCGTCCCATTTAGATTCGGACTCCTTTACGACGCCGAGTGATAGTCAGGATCAGAGATACTCCCCTGAGAATCTGTCTGGGCTTAGCCCTTCTTGTAATTCGTCGTTTGAAACAAATAGCTTTCATCATACAGCCTCGCCGTATTTGGATCATTGCGAGGAGAGTCGAGGAATTTATTCGGGGACGAGCGCGTTTGATTATGAGGGATGCTCGACTGAGAACATAAGGTACGCTTTGAAACAATTGGAGACTGCTCTGATGGGGCCGGATAATGAGGAGGTTGCTAGCAAGCCGGATGCTTCATTTGGAGAGAGTAGTAGGCCCCAGATGATGGGGCAGAGGTCCTACTCTTGGAGCCAAGATCGACGTGGGTCGAATATTGGCCAGTCTCAGACTTCGTCTGTCTCGAGAAGCCAGCAGCCTGAAGCGGTTCATTTGGGGAAACGTCAGAAGTCGTTGGATGAATCGTTGTTGCAGGGAGGATTTCCATCAGATAATTTGAAGGAGTTGCTGATTGCTTGTGCAAAAGCTTTAGCTGAAAACAGGATGGAGGATTTTGACAACTTGGTTGCCACAGCAAGAGGTGCTGTGTCCATCAGCGGAGAACCGATCCAGCGTCTTGGTGCTTACATGGTCGAAGGGCTGGTGGCGAGGAAAGAGGCATCAGGAGCGTGTATATACCGTGCCCTCAACTGTAGAGAGCCTGCAAGTAACGATTTGCTATCTTACATGCATATGCTATACGAAATCTGCCCCTACTTGAAGTTCGGTTACATGGCAGCGAACGGGGCAATTGCTGAAGCCTGCAGAAATGAAGACCGCATCCACATCATAGATTTCCAGATTACTCAGGGGACGCAGTGGTTAACTCTTCTTCAGGCACTCGCAGCAAGGCCCAGTGGGGCTCCCCATGTGAGGATAACCGGTATCGATGACCCTGTTTCAAAATACGCCCGCGGTGACGGGTTGGAAGTAGTGGAGAGGCGGTTGGCTGAAATCTCCAGGAAGTACGACATACCCGTCGAGTTTCATGGAGTACCTGTTTTCGCTCCAGACATCAGGTGCGATATGCTCGACATCAGGCCTGGGGAGGCGCTGGCTGTGAACTTCCCATTGCAACTTCATCATACCCCGGACGAAAGCGTCAACGTGAACAATCCTCGAGACGGTCTGCTGAGAATGGTGAAGTCATTATCCCCAAAGGTAGTAACTTTGGTAGAACAAGAATCAAACACCAACACAACCCCTTTCTTCAACAGGTTTGTGGAAACTTTGAATTACTATTTGGCAATCTTTGAGTCCATTGATGTCACTCTACCAAGGAACAACAAGAAGCGCATCAATGTGGAGCAGCATTGTTTGGCAAAAGACATCGTTAATGTCATCGCTTGCGAGGGGATCGAACGGGAAGAGCGGCACGAGCTCTTCGGGAAGTGGAAATCGAGGTTGACAATGGCAGGGTTCCGCCAGTTCCCGTTGAGCTCTTATGTCAACAATGTCATCAGGGGCCTGCTCGGGTATTATTCCGAGCACTACACTCTCGTTGAGAGAGATGGAGCGATGCTGTTGGGATGGAAAAACAGGAACCTGATATCTGCCTCGGCTTGGTGTTAAGAGCGCGAGGAATGCAACAAAACAAAGGCCAAGCTTTTGATGATCGGGATATCGGGGGCTCGTCAATGAGCTCTGCTCCGACGTGGTAGGGCGGGTGAAGTTAAATACTGTGTACCAGACGATTGATGTCTGTTCTGTGCTTATGGATATGAAAAAGTGTAATTTTATTGAGGCCTTTAAGCTTTTGAACATAAGAGTTCATTGTTCCATAGTGTTAATTTAATTTCACATTCATTTTATTCTGGACTTTCGAGGCTGACAATTTCAGAAGTAGTTCAATCTGGAGATGAAAATCGACGTTCTGTGTTAAAAAATGATTCGGATACAGTTTCGATTTAGTTTATGTAGTTTGAAAAGGTTTCGACTTATCTTTATGGTTTTGATCCTCCCGACAAAAATAAAGGGTTTGTGTTGTCCGTTCCAAAGGCGTCAAAAATTGACAAATTCATTTTTAAGATTTAGGATGAAGTATAGATTATAAGGAAATATGTGAGTTTTTCAAATATGTAAGATAATTTTGAAAAAATTTGTGAGGTTTAAATAAGGGAGTGAAATGAAACTAAACTCGAACCATATGGATCAGATTGCACCAAATTGAAACTAAAATTTAAATCATAGGAACTCAATTGAAATTTTTAAAATCATAAAAATCAAATTATTGCACCAAATTGAAACTAAAATTTAAATCATAGGAACTCAATTGAAATTTTTAAAATCATAAAAATCAAATTAAAACCATATTCAAATCTTAAATGATAGGAGTTGAAATGAAACTAACCCAAACCATTTGGATCAAATTGAAAATTTCAAAATTACGATTATCAAATTGAAACTAAATTTAAATTGTAGGAACTAAATTGAAATTCCTAAAATTATAAAAGTTAAATTGAAACTATATTCAAACATTAGGACCCAATGTATAATTTGAAGAAAATGCATATAAAGAATTATATTTAAAAACATCCATAGAAAATGCAGGTAAAAAAACACAATATTATTTATGTTTTCCTACTTTAAAAGTTATCTTGCTAAATAAAATTTGAAAAATTTTAAGAGGTAGCACAATTTGTTAAAAATATTTAACAAAAATATGTATATTTATATATTAAATTTAATCACTAATGTATCTACCTGTAAATATATATCTTAAATTTTGTCAAGATGTACATATATATATATACTGCTCTAAATTGTCTAATACCCCTACACATTTATCAACTACAATAATTGCAATTAATTATATACCGACGTGTCAGTTTCATTATTAAGCCCATCGACTCAAGTCCAATCCAAACTCGATCCAAACCTAGTCCAAGGTTAACATTTGATCATTCGAGATCAATCCGACCCTTCCAATAGTTGAATTGAATATCTTTAAATTAAGTTGGTCCATGGACTGGTCTATTTGATTCTTTTTCTCGTTGAGTCGGCCCGAAAACTCCAGATCTAATGTATATATTAATACTAATTATTAATATATAATTAATTTGTATTTAGTATTATTCCTCATTATCATTCTCAATCTTCCAAAACTTTTTCTTTATATTAATATAGGAGTACAACTTATTTAATTTTAAAAATAAAATGACTTAAAACTGTAAAAAGTATGATATAATAAAATTTATCGATAATATTTTTGAAAAATAATAAAAAATGGTATAAAATTATCAAATAAAAATAAAAATTTAAAAATTTAAAATTTAAAAATAATTTATTATATGGGCAAATTTAAGCCTGATCCGAAGAGTCAGTCCAAACTCGATATAACCTTGGCTCATTGAGTTAGGTCTATGAATTGGACAATAGACTTAGGTTTTTAGTGGTTGGGCCGAGGGTTGACCCAAACTCGGCTCAAATAATAATGGAAGCCCACAGGACTTGAACTTGGATTGAGCTTAGATCTTTATTTCTTTAAATTTGGCCGGTGCAACGATGAGAGTGACCTCCACATTAATTAGTTATAATAACTTTGTATTTATTAAATGCAATCACTCGCCATGACTATTCATTCATTAACTATAATCACTATTATACCTTAATTAATTAATTGTAATAATTTATATAGCTTCATTAAATGTAATTACTAATATAAGTATTTTCTAACTTATTGCTATATTTGTTAACACGAGTATAGTTCGGTGTTTAAGATGTATTACTCATTCACTTTAGAAATGGTAGGTTCAAACCACATCTCCACATTTTTTGTATTAAAAAAAATTATTGCTAGATTCTATTTTTGTAAGGTTCCAAATAAATTATGCTAGATTTATAACTACTTCATAAAATCACAAAGTTGGAAATGTAAAATATAAATTAATATTGACTGATCTATTATTACCTTTTATTAGGCCTTTTAACTTTTAAATGCTCGACTTTGTCAACTTCATGTAATGAAAATCTTATTTCGAGTATATAAGAAATATGATGTAATATTTGTTGATTTCACCCATAGATAACGTTGTCTCCTCAGCTTTCGAGTTCATATATCCCAACAAATTGGACCCAAATGCGTGTTGATGTAGTTTGCTCGACATTGTGGGTGGATCCTCACAGTCTCCTAATTTGGCATGGGTCATTCCCATCTTCGACTAGCAATCCCTCTTATCCTTTTGAATCCTATGGTTTGTTAGGAGGCTATTCAGTTAGTGAATGGAGAGGTGATGACGTCATGGAAGGAAGAAGGTTTATGAGTTTCAAATATTTCTGAACTGGGAAAAAGCTTCAATGAGCTTTATTTTGTTCACATTAGTCGTAATCACAATACCTAAGTTGATATTTTGGCCCAACAGGCTCTTCTTGTTTTGACCTTAGCTTGTTTGATCAACTCGGTTTTGTCTCATGGCTGAGCCGACCAGGCTTATTTGAAATCTCGTTCCCATTTGTTGGTTGAACCGATTAGCTTTACCTCGGCTCAGTCTCAATCTCCGACAGACTCCACGACAACATACCGTGATTCTCGCTAAACTTAAAGAGTCGTTTAGGCCTTGTCGGGAACACGGTCGGGGATCTCGTTTATAAATAGAACCCATTTTCTCCATTTTGAGGTACGCAAATACTAAATTCTCTCTCGAGTTTAGTTCGGCCAGATACAGACTTTAGCATCGGAGTGTGTTCTGTTTTGCAGGTCACCTGTCCAATTCATCTCCAACTCGTCCACCGAGTCACATTCAATTCGAGCCGAGGTGTGTAGTATTGGTCAATTTTCTGATCAAACACCCCCTGGCTTTTACATCTCGAGAAGTTCTAATTTAAATGTAACCCACGGTGGTTTTCCTTTCTAATATAGTTTCTCTTTGCTCAATTTTTTTTTGTTCATTTCCTTGCATGGAGAGTGAGAGACGGATGGATAGAGTTGAATAAAGGCTGAGGAAGATTATAATTGAAATTTAAAATGTTGAAAAGATTAAAATCTAAAGATTAAATGAAAAATAAATAAAAATATAGGGGACTATTAGTCTATGAACTAAAAATCATATTTTTTATTTCTTCATTTTTTAATAATAATAAAAAGAAGAATTGCACAACTCCCAACATCCATGAATTCAATATCTTTATTTATGTTGGAATAAATTGGAAACGGAAAAAGACACAAAGAACGTAAATAGTTGTCAAATGTTTAGATTTCTTAATAAAATTGTAAATGAAAAATAACAAACGGGAACGTTAAGCCTATATATACAAGATCATCTTCTCCCTATACAGACAAATGTGAGACTTTGGCTAGAAATAGTCTTCCCCTCGAACAAACTACGTATCACTAAATCTCTCCTCAATATTATTTCCCTTCAATTTTTTTTTCTTTCCAATTGGATAATGTAAAAATAATATAATCCAGCAAAAATGCCATAATTTATATAATTTTCTGTTGAGAAAAACATTCAAGTTAAAATTGGAATTAATAGTTAATATTAAATATTTTATAAAAATGTCAAATTAATATAAATTAACGTATGGTTCGAAACTACGTTTGTAATGTCTGACCAAGAATTTGATCAAAGTACTGCGAAGCTTGGACTTGGTGTATCGACGAACGGAAATACTTGCAAAAGAGAGTAACAGCTCCGACGCTCAAGTCAGTACTTATCGATCTATTGCTAGAGAGAGAATAGTTTGACGTATTTAAAAAGTGAGGTAGGCCTCTCTATTTATAGAGGTGAGCTTCCGACAGGAACCTCCAACAGGGCTACGACTCTCCGACAACTTCGTACGTTGAGAATCATGACGTGTTGTCTGAGATTCTGTTAGAGGGTTTGCACCTGCAGATATGCTCTTGGAATTAGGTCGACTCGGCCTTTAATAAGGAAGGCCAAGGTATGAGTTAAGGTCGGTCCAAACTGTAGGGAAAGATGTCTCGTCATAATTAGCTTGGCTCGACATCTAGGAAGGTCTGAGTTCACTTTAATGAACATCCTTGTGACTTATTGTTGCTGACCCATAGTTGGGACGATGACACGTGGTAGTTGAGATATTGCCTCCAACATTTTGTAAGATTTTTTTGGAACCAAATATATAACTTTTGAACATTTCTAAATACAATGGTGCAAAACAAACATAGATATTCATCAAATACTCCCCTACTAAATTTTTCTACAAAACAAACGTAATTATCTGAAAACGTCGAACATCTATATTTTTAGATATCTAAAAATTCGTACATAGGCATAAAATCCCTAAAATCAAATAGTCTGATCTTATTATTGCAATCCATAACATAATTCTTTAGATGATAAATTTAAGTCTAAAGTAAAAACAACTAATAACTTTTGAGCTTAGAAAACTTGGCGAGGCAATTGTCAACAGGCACAGGGATAGGCAGGGAGGAGACTAGGGCTTCTGGATTGAGCCGTTCACATCTACAACATTAATAAAAAAAAATTTGTTATATATGCATCATCATTTATAATGGCTACTTAATCTTTCAATTTTTCGTTGTCAAAACGAGTATAGTTTAACGGTAATTAACATATGTCTCCCACCAGTAGACTGTGAGTTCAATCTCCCTCCCCCACATATTTTCAAATATAATTGATATATATCTTTCAAATTATTGTTTTGTTAACATATTTGGATACACGAACAACGCAACTCGAATAATGTTATTCCTAAAAATATAGACTATCTTGTATATTTAGCCCAGAATAAAAATTCAAATTAAGCAGAAAATAGTTTTAATAAATATTTTACTCAACAAGGTTGTATATGCAGAAATCTCAAAAAANTATTTTCTGAATTCACCAAAAAATGAAAGGCAACTTACTTGTAATTAAGGAGAAAATGGTGAAGTAAAATAGTCATTTCAAGCCTTGCAAGTTCATTTCCTGGACAAAATCTACCTCCCATCCCAAATGACAGGAATGTCCCTGGTTTTGGAGTATAATTCTGCCCACAAGAAAAAAAAATGTATTTTATAAATAAATAAATAAATAAAAATAGGAAAATCGAATTGATGGGGATCTTAACGTACATCCCATCTTGAAGGATCAAATTGTTGTGGATTTGGATATATTTGAGAATCCATATGAATGTCTCTCACCATAATTATTACATTCCATTCTTTCGGTATAGTGTAACCTAAAACAAATAAGCAAAGAAAAAAGAAAATGATAACTAAAATGAGGGAAAAAATTTATCAACAAGTAAATAATTACTATGAAGTAATTATATAACTTAATAATAAAAAAAAATCACAAAAATTTAACAACAAAATTAAAAGAGAAATGGACATATATATATATATGCATACATAATAATAAATACAAGTATAATTACTGACCATGGATATTTATGTCCGTGGTTGCTTTACGACAACTTACTGTGGTAACATGACTCACTCTTAACGTCTCGTTAATGACCTGAAATAATAAATTAATAAAAGAAAAATCAAGTTTGAATTGTATTTTACTAAAATTAGGGATACTTTCATTCCCTTGTATCTCTCAAGAAGCTCAAAGCTCAAATGATCATCGGATCTAAAAATAAAATTTGATCAAGATCGATGAGTCAAAAGAGCTATAATCTTGAGGGAACATGTTAAAGATTCCATATTAAAAAGATAAAAGGCTAACGAAGATTTATAATATAAGTGAACTACTTTTCTTATTGCCAATTAATATGGTATCTCGTCCATGTCCCCAACTCAACAAAAAGAAAAACATTGTTACGGTTTTGTACTACTATGTTAATACATAAATCGTTTCAAATAGTTGGGATTTTTTTTCTATATAGAACACTCATGTCAGATAAAATGATTTGAACCTTTTTTTTAATTATTTAATTAGAATTTTTTTTTTGTAAAAAACTGTATATATATATATAAATTCATAATTAAGACAAAAAAAAAAAAACACAAACCTTTGCAGCATATGTCATTTGTTTAATTTCTTTATAAATCAATCCCTTTTGAGTAGATGGTCTTTGTTTTAGGATCATCTCTTGCTCTTCCTGAAAAACCCAAAACGGAAATAAAAACATCATCAAAATTCTTAAAAAAAAGAAAGAAAACAACAATAATGGCTCGTTGGGTAATGTTTAAGTTTTTTGTTTCTAAGTTTATTAAGAAACCTAAACATTTTGCTACTATCTAGGTTCCTTATTTTTCAATTTTTTTTTAATAAATATTCTTGAAGCCATAGGTGCTGGGGCCACCTAATTCTATTTTTCTTTATTAGAAAAAAGAAGAAACAAGAAAAAAATGAAAACGTTATCAAACAGGTACTAAGTAACTAAAGTCTTGCATTTTGTTCGAGACAAGAATGGGTGATTTAATCATTTAATATATTCTCGAAGCTAGGCTCTTAACACCAACCTTGGCCTTTTGGTAGACTTGAGGGTGTTGTAATACGTATATGAGAAGCCACATAGCAGCATGAGCTGATGTATCACGACCAGCAAACAGCAGTCCAAGCAACATGCATACAACTGCATTGTTGTTGAAAGAAAATTCCCCATTAGCATCCTTGGCCTTAAGAGCTACATCAACTTGAAACTTCTCCTCCATTTCTTCATTCTTTTCAATAACTCTTCTCCTCTCCGCTATCACGGGCCCCAGGATGTTCAATATCTCGTCTCTTGCCTGCAACGTTATACACAAAATCTTTGTCTCAGTAGAGCCTTTCAGTGATATGCGTTTATAAATAATAATATATGAAAAAATTATAAATCCTCTACTCGAGAAAGATATACAATTGCAAAAATTGAAACATGGGTATGTTAGTGATAAGTGACTCTCAACAGTGATATATTTGTCCATTTTAAGAACCCTCATGACTCTGCTTTTGATGTTTACGTAAAAAAACTTTAGAGATGTTGTCTCTCACATATATACACATGATCTTCACTCCGAACAAACTATAGTTAATTAATATAAATGATATACTTTTGGCATAAACATTATTAATATTCATGGATTTCATCTCAAAATCAATTGGCAATGAAAGACATAACTCATATCTATTATAAATCATTGTAAGGTCCATTTTTTTCATTATCGAAGGGAACAGGCACTTTTCAAAATATAACAAACCGTTAAGGATCCCACATTAAAAAGAGAAGGGACCTAACAATGGTTTATAATAGACATGGACTACTCCTCTTATTGTCCATCAATATTGATATGGTATCAAAGTCCAAAAACGATCAAACGAGCTTAATACCTTGACTGCTTGACGAAAAGCAGAACCGGGCAAGTCGTAAGAGAAAATGGACATGATGACAGGAGATATCTTGGCATATAATTTACCAATTTCAGAAGTTTGAAAGTGTGTTAAAGCAGTCCCAACGAAGACATGAGTAATGATTTTGAAGGTGAGGCCTCTCAACTCATGCACCAACTCTATTTCTCTTCTGCTGCTCCATTCCTCCAATGCTTCCACAATTAACTTCTCAATGAATTCCACATAGCGAGACAATGGCTCAGAGCCATTTATGGGAGGTGCAATAAATCGGTGTAAAATTTTGGGATTGAGCCTCGTTAAAGAGCCATCCCCGAGTAATATGTTCACCGTCTTGGGATAATTGAATTTGAAGTGTTCGTCGTCTGAGTATATGCGTCGACAAGCTTCTGGATTAGTCACAATGATTGTTGGAGTCCCATACAAGTGGCATTTGTACATCCCAACTTTTCCATATCTGCCTCGAATAAAAGTTTAAATTGATCAAGGTGGAAAATATTAAGATCCTAAGAAAATAGACCTTACAAAAATTTATAGTAGAGAAGTGTAGGATTCTTAACGTGATATTTTTGCTCTAGCCCATCGATTTTTCCATTTTAGACCAGATGCTCATTTTTGGACTTTGATATCGTGACAAGGAGAGGAGAGTCCATTTTTTACTTAGATTTTGATGGGTGAAACCCTCTATTCAAACCACCGCGGAAAACTTTTAACTTTTTTTTTTTTTTTGTTGAAAAAGAACTCTCTTCACACCTTTTATGGTTTCTTTTAACATATATGAAGCTAGAAAAGTTCTCTATGACTCTCTTTTCATATTTAAAAAATATAAACAAAAGAAAAAACCTATCAAAGTTGGGAAAATATTCCAATAATCATCACATCTTTTAAAAAAACGTTGGACGGTTTGAGAAAGGAGGTGTCTCAAATAGTTTTTCAAAACCTTTATTATTTGATAATAAATAAAAATTACTTCTCTAGAGTGATTGATGTGACTATCACTTCATGGTAATTTGACATTTATAGAATCATTCATGAATGTAAGGTAGGGTGTTCACGGGTTGGGTTGGATCAGGTTATGAGTAATTTTGGGACCAACCAAAAATTTTGAGGTGACCATATATAGGAAGTGTCGAGTTTGAATTGGATGGTGAACCCAACCCAACGCAATATTTTCGGGTTGGGTTGTCAGGTTGTGTTTTTTTTTTAATTTTTAATTATCTCGATGACATGGAGTTAGGATTAAAACTAAATGGACGGATGAGATTAAGATACAAAAGAGAAGAAAATAATATGAAAACCTTAAAAGGGCCAGGATTAGAACTAAATTGATGGTTGACATTATATATATATATATATATATATATATATATATATAAAATTAAAAAAATTGGTATACACATAAACATAAATTTGAGTTTGGATTGGATTGATCCGATTTTTTAAAGGTAACCTAATTCGATGCTTCATCTAACCCAACCAAACCCTTACGATTTGGGTTGGATTTATCGGGTTGTAGGGTTTTTTTAAACATCCCTAATCACCGAACAAATTTGTGATTAAGATCATTTGAACAAAATGTAACCAAACACAATGATTTTAATTAAAACCACTTCTACCAAAAAATGGGTTATGAAATTTTTTGAAGTATTTAAATTAGAAGGCATACCAGACTCAACCTAAATTGATCAAAAGTTCAATTATAATATATATCCAGTTATTTTCATCCATAATCTTATTCTTGATGAGGAAGAAGTTGAAGAGAGATACCTAGAAACGAGATCATCCATAACATAGTTAGGGTTGCCGCCGATTTTATATGCTTTGTAAAACGTTAATAAAGAGCCAATAAGAGGCCATCCCATATCCCCGGGAGGGAGTGTATCGTAAATCTTCCTTTCCAACCTAAGAAAATACCATAGGTGGTTGAATTTCCTCAATAACCCAAACACAAGGATATATAACCCTAAAACAGCTCCCAAAATGCCCCAAAAATTGCTCAAAATTACTCCCATCTTCTGTGGACTTGTGGCCAATCACCCAAGCTTAGGAGCAGTATTTATAGTGCTAATTAATAAGATTATTAAATCTATTGTATTCTTAAACGATCTATGTTTACTTCCAGGGATGAAAATGGAGGAATAAGAATCAATTTTTTTTATTCGTTTCTCAAATTGTTGGTATTAGAATCAAATGGTGGGACCCACCAACTTTTTTCATTTTCATTCCGAGGTCATCCCCTTCCTCTCCTATACCCTCATCCATTCCATTTTCATTCTTTATTCCATGGGTCTCATACATTTATTGCAACCACTTTACCACTATATAGAAAATAAATTAGAAAAAAAATGTTATAATAGGGGATGTTTGAGAAAAAAGTATAAAAAATATTAAATTTTTAAAAAGAGAAAAATGATAATGATATGTTAGAATAAAAAAAAAAGGAAAAAAAAATATAGAGATGTAAATTTTGAAGAGATAATAATTATTATAAGAAGAAAAATTTAGAGGGAGATAAGTTTTTTTCACAAAAAGAAATTTCGGTACAGAAAAAATTAGAGGGAGAAAGAAATTCACTGGAGAGAAATTTATTACAGACAAATATGTCAAAAGAAATAAAAACTTGAGTATTAGAACAAAAAAAAAGAGATTTTGAAAATTGCATTCTATTTTTAAAAACTACCTTTCTTAGATTTTGAAATTTAAAAAAATTTTAAAAACGTTTTTAAAAAACCGAAAAAGAAAAAATTGAATTGGTTATTAAACAAACCTGCCTTCAAAAATTTTAAAAACAATAAACAATAAACAAAATGATAATCAAACGAGCTGTGAATATACACCGACTTATTAGATACCATTTTTGAAAATTCATCCGCTAAATTTATAGTTTAATATTTTTTTTCTTATTTTAAAAAAGAGATGATTTAGGATAATTAATAAAGCAAGTCAAAAGGAAAAGAGAAATACTTGTTCCGCACTAGTAAGCGGATAAATTTTCTTTACGCAATTAAGTATTTGACAACTCATTATTTTTTAAAAAGTCTTTCATGTTTTTGCATTATCCAATGTTTGGTACAAACCATGCGCTACAAATTAAAATAATTGAGCCTAATAATTATGAGAAAATAAATAATATTTATTATTACTATTATTTTTCCCAAAAAGAGAAAGTAAATATTATTTCTTTGAGTACATGAACAGACTTTAAGATGGTTCCAGAATATAAATAGTCAAAACTATTTAAATTTACAATTTAATTTTTGGACATTAAATTCTTAATTACTCCCTTCTTTTCAACCTTCTCCGTACTTAAACCACCACATGTTTCACACATTTACATCAAAATATCAAATTACTGTGATTGTGGAGTTATTATTACAAATTAAATGTCGTCATCATTATTTGCTCAATGTAATCCATTCATAGCCATTCATGGGCTTGGGGAGTTGCGTTGCCGTGACTCGTGAGTACGCATAACTAATATTATTTATTTTTTTATGAATATACGGAGTGGTGGATTGAATTTATAACCTCTTGGTCCTCTGTGGGATTCATCCAAATTTTCATCGATCTTTTAGATATAAAAGGGATTGATATGACTTGCAAAACCAAATAACTTTAAGATTGATGTGACTCTTGTCACACGGACTCCGATGCCTTAGTTAGTATCGTACGTAGTCGAGTGTAGAGAGTAGAGTATTTGGGCGTACTTTTAGGGTTTGACTTACTTCCCTATTTATAAAAGTCGATCCTGATACATCTACGAAATCTAGTTATCTGGGCCAGAGTCTCTTGTTATGGGCCTGCAGTCGGATCAAGAGTCGGGACGCGATGGATTAGGGTTGACATGCATCACGATCGAGTTGGATCTTTTGGAGTTCTCTGTCGGAAGGCCGAGAACTGCTCGACGGGGATAAGGTCTCGAAGCCGAGCTAGCCCTGACTGTTTGACGCTGATCACTAGTCGGTTCGGGGGCGGGCTTGGGTCCCCTAACACCAGCCCCATTTCTGGTTCGTGCCTTCTCTTGGCTCTCCCCGATCTTATCTCGCTTCGCTGTATTTTCTCTTTCTCCTTGTAACATATACCAATTATCACTTAGCTATACTCACTTTGACGGATAGCTAATATTATTAAAGGGCAGAGCGAAGAAGAAAAAAGAAGGATATAATTGTCTTACCGATTAAATAAAGTATATAAAAAAAGTCATATTCTATCTAACTTGCACATTTTAAATTTGTGGGACGGAAAGATCCCACATAATACATAATACATATGCATATATATATATATATACACACACACGCGCGCGACAAAAGACATATGCATATGCATATACATATAATATATATATATATATTTGTATGTATGTATGTATGTATATATATATATTTTTTTGTATATATATATATATATATATATATATATTTGTATGTATATGTATATGTATTTGGATTTGGATTTTTTTCTAAAATTATGGGATTTCTTCTTTTGAAAAAAATTGGAAAAATGAAATCTATATTGGGGTTGGAAATTCGATCTCATTGTCTTTTGGTAAAAAACATATCCCAATTACTGTTGAGATAAGTTCATATTGACACAATAATTATTGTGATGATGACCGTTTATAAATTAGAAAATATACTGTAATAAGAAAAATATATATAGAAACTAGAACATTAGTGAAGAAAATAATTGAAATTAAATCATTTTAACACCTAGAAATGAACCTCTAGATCTATCCGTGAGAAGAAAAAGTTTATATACAATTAAATTATTAACAAAAGTTAGGTAGAACTAAAATTAGGTTTGATTTGAAAAAATAGAAAGGACTTGCGAGGGAACCAATAATTTTGGTTTGTAAAAGTCAAAATATGTACATTATATATCTAGTTGTTTAGTTGTTTTCGAAATTCAAATATTGTTGTTTTTATATTTTATTTTTCTTTTCGATAATTTGTAATGTCGTTATATTGAGTCATATTTAATTAATAATGATTATTATACACACACAATATCATGAGTATTATTTGTATTTGTCTACTTTCATAAATATTGTTTATCTTATTTATATGGTTTGTTTACCGAATATGACTTAATTTTACATGAATATTATGTGCTAAAAAAATACATGCATATTAAAATTTAATACGATTATAATATATATAAAACACTAAATTCTAAAACCATAAACTCCTAAACCCTAAAAAGCTAAATCTTAAAACCCTAGAATCCTAAAACCAACCCCTACAACCCTAAATCTTAAAACCAAAATTAAAACTTTAAAACTCTAAAACCACCTTGAAACTTTTTTTTTCTTTTTCAAAGCTAAATATATTAATAAGAAAAAAGATGACCTTATAGCACGAGGTCAAGGTACAAAAAACAAGCGAGACAAACCTCGCCACCAAAACAGCAGAAAACAAACAAAAAACACGCAACCCAAAAACCCTAATTTGTAAACTGATTAAAACCATGTAATTTATATTTATTTTTATTTAAAAAGAAACCATTTCATTCAAGAGTGTGGTATGTGAGAAACATACCAACAAAAAGAAAGTTAGAGAAAAAACTTTCCAATATAATTAAGTGAAATGGTTGAGGTATCGTAATTACAAAAAGGTCTCCAAGAGGTAGCCTAGTTGACAAGGATTTGGGGTCTTCTGATCGTACTGACTTAAAAGTGTTAGCTTCGAATCTTCTGGTGAGCTTAATACCAAAAACCCCTCTCTATATATATGTAGTATATTATATTATGATATAGTAGTCTATATTATTAGACTTAAATAAAGAATAAATTTTTTTAAATATTTTAAATAAAAAATGATTAAAATACTGCTGTAATTGAGGATCGAACCTTCAGGGGTGTGCACGTGCGACTAAACCAACGGAAGGACATATCAATTTTGTTTGCAATGACACAGCTTATTGTAAGAATTATAAACTAACAAACAGAAACATAAAAACAAAATTACTTTTCATTGTTTCCAAAATTTAACCTCTTTTTTGGAAACGTTTATCAAATTATAGAAATGAGAAATGGGGTGGGTTATAAAACATGTCGGTTTCTCAAAAAATAAGAAACGAGAACAAGAAACAAGAAACAAGAAACAGGAACGTTACCAAACGAGTCATAAATAACTAAGATTTCTTCCCACATTTTGTTTGAGACGAGAATCATTGATTTAATCATTTAATATATTCTCGAACCTAACTATCAACACCTTTGCCTTTTGGCAGACTTGAGGGTGTTGTATACCATATATAAGAAGCCAAAAAGCACTCCAAGCAAAATGGATACAGCAGCATTGTCATTGAATAAAAAATTCCCATTCTAATCCTTGGCCTTAAGAATTGCATCCCTTTGACAAGTCTCCTCCATCTCTTCATTCTTTTCAATTACTCTTTTCCTCTCTTCTATCATAGGTCCTAGCATGTTTAATATCTCGTCTCTTGCCTGCGAAATTATACCCAATATAAAAAGTTCAAACAAGCAAGAAAAGGTCAAATCAAGATTGGTGAGTCCTTGAGGAGACATGTATCAATTCATATTGGAAAGAAAGATAATGTTAAGGATTTCACAGAGAGCATGTTTGGTCCGACATGAAAATTAACAGAACAATTATATCTTTATAAATATGGGAGTAATGTTAAGTTTATGGTATACAGTAAATCTCAAGAACTCTGGTCTCATCTAGTTCCATACTACCTGAGATCTAGTTTAATTCTAACTTAAGCATATCAGAAAACTTTTTGTCAACACCAACACTGATGTCCATTTTCTTATTCATAGGTATTCTTGAGAAATCCACCGAACCAATCTAGTTGGGTTTCTCCAGCTCACCCTTGTGGAGGAAGTTGTTAAATTTGTTCGTTATTAATATGGAATGAGAGATCACAGCACTCAAACAAGCATCAGATCAAAAAATGGGATCCAACCCAAAATTGATGAGCTCA